AAATGAGATGGGCATCGCTGCCTACGCCGACGGCCAGAGGCCCGCGCATCTACATTTTTTCGCCTGACCCCATCAGTGCCGACCCAACTACACCACCACGCGCATGCCTCGCGGCGGATATGCGCAGCAGCAAGAAGGTTTCGGTCATCCCTTGAGGGTGAGTCTAGCCCTGCTCGCCAGAAAGACCCCCCCTTCACTACAACCCATCCATGTCTAAGCAAAAGCTTGTCGAGGAGCGAGGGGAAGAAGGGAGAAGTCATATGGTGTATCTCATTGATACAGTCACGGAGCCCCTTGTATTCTTTTTTGAAGTTCGCGGAGAGACTTCATGTAGAGCTTTCGTTTGAGCACTTCAGCGTCGCAATCAGAGCATCCAGCGACGAGATATAGCAGCAGCACCACCCACCGCCGCGGGCCATCTTCGGTCTTTTGCTGGTTTTGCTGATAGGCATGGGCCGCCGCCAGGTGGGCCCACAGCAAGCTCGAAAGGCATGTGAAGCAGTTAGAGGTGGCATGAAGATCCGAGAGGCCTCTTTGGGCTAGATAGGTGGTCGATCAAGAGCTCAAGAGCCGCCTCGATGGTGCGGTGGCCACGAAAGCAAAAGTTGGTCCCGCGACTGTCCTGAGCGAAGAAGAGGAAAATTCTCCTGAAGATGCTCTGCTAAACGCTGGTCGTCACTGCTTGGCTGTGGGTCGGCTGCACCTCCTAGAAACCGTTAGACTAGACAGCTGTGCAACGACGGTCGCCCGATCCCTTGGGATCCAGATAAGGGTTCGGGGAAGGACTGGTTAGCTGGCTTCCTCAAGAGGCACTCACGGGTGACGGAGCGCACGACTCGCATCTACGAGTCAAACAGAATCACCGAGGACAAGGAGCCTCCCATCGTCGAGTTCTACAAGAAGTGGGCAGCTCTCCTTGACGAGCACAAGCCGGAGGCCGACCACGTGCACAACACGGACGAGACCGGTGAGGATGTACTTGTTGACTAGTCTAGTCTAGTGGTATCAGTAGAAGCTGCAGTGTGCGAGCTCGTGTGCAAAGATCGCGAAGATGGCATGTCAATATCTTGTGGAGTTCTGGTGTGCGGCCGAATTTTCAAAGATACGGGGCGTCCTTCTGGTGTGCGTACGTACTGCTGTGCTCTATCATACCTGTGCTGTGCGCCCTCGCACCTGTTCCATGTTGCCGAAGTCGACGCTGGCTGTGGTCTAGAGTGGTCTAGAGTAGAGTACAGCAGTAGTTCAGACTGCTAACTACACAAATGTACCATAGAGAATGGGCTGTGTAGCATGGTCTTTTTGGCCGATTGTTCCGCAAGTCTACCCTGCAGAAAGTGTAGCTTGCGGGTACAGCAGGACAGCGTGCATGTGTATAAATGATGTACAGCAGACGAGTCTAGTCTAGGACGAGTACCGAGCATAGAATAGGCACACCTTGCTGTTGCTCCTCCTGCTGCTAGTCCAGTCCAACTACCGCCGACGAAAGTAGACAAAGTAGGTGGCAGCTTGCTTCACGAAAAATACATGACTGCCCCGCCCCTTCGGTGAAGCGCGGTCTATCCTGCGAGGAGCGCGGTAGACTGTCGATTGCATTGTGTTTGTGTGTGTGTACACCTTTGCATTTTCTATCTGCCGTAGCTGGTCACCCCCCTTGACCTTCACCTACGCGATTTGGTTCCCTCTCTCGCGGGTGTAATTAGGTACCACACCGCAAGGCACGAAGACGATGAAGACCTTCGCGGAGGCAGGGCAGACGGTGGTTGAGTCGATGCGGTCCAACTCGCGAGAGAACACCACCGTGGTCACCACCATCAGCGCCAATGGTGCCACGTGGGCGCCAACCATTATCTTCAGAGGACAGCGACTCCAGCCTGACTGGTTCGCCGAGAGGAACGGCCCGAAGGATGCGAGGTACACGTGCACGGACTCTTCGTTCATGCAGGGCGACGTGTTCATCAAGTACTTCAAGGACTTCCACAAGCAGCTTGACGACCGAGGCGTGCTCGACGGAAAGCCGCACACCCTCGTGCTTGATGAGCATGCCTCATACGTGAGTTACGAGGTCATCAAATTGGCCATGGAACTCAACATCATCCTCTTCCAGCTGCCCTCCCACACGTCGCACATCACCCAGCCGTTGGACGTCGTCGCTTTCGGAACCTTCAAGAAGGAGGTGACTACAGTGCTGCAAGACTACTACCACGCAAACGGCGGGTTGTTACCGCTGAAGCGTGACGTGCCCGGCGTGATCGCGGCGGCTTGGCAAAGGAGCTTTACACCGGAGCGGAACAAAGCATCCTTCGGCGGGGTGGGGCTGTGGCCTGTGGACATGGATCGAGCGCTGACCCGGCTTCAGGGCACGGCGAAGAGGAAAGAGGGGCCGACCGGGCGCCCACCCCTAGAGGATGTCCCCATCGCCATGACCCACGAGCAGCTAGAAGAGGTCATCGGAGAGAGGGGCCCGAGGCAGTTGAAGGCGGGAGGACACACCATTACCGGACTCAAGGTAGGCACGGTGATGCTCGGCGGTCTCCTGTCTCAGAGGAAGCGCGCCAAGAAACTGGCGACCTCGCGGGGCTCTTTGGGCCTTCCCGACGGAGGCAACATCAACTCGGAAGAATTCCTGGCAAAGGTTGACGCAAAGGAACACGCAGACAAGGCAGATGCCGAGGCGAAAGTGGAGAGGGGCAGAGAGCGCGCAAGGAAAAAGGAAGAGGCGGCCGCGGCGGCGGCGGCGCGGGCACGGCAGGCGAACAC